CAGTCAAAGAAGAAGAAGAAGAAGAAGAAGAAGAAGAAGAAGAAGAAGAAGAAGAAGAAGAAGAAGAAGAAGAAGAAGAACGTGCAAAGTGGAGAGAGAATAAGAGAGAAAAACAGTTTTTTTTTTTAATATTTATGTTTGTCTAATTTTGGAGTATATGTGGAATTGTGTATGTTCTGTAGTTATTTGAAAATATTTTTTTCAAACTATGACAGTTACAAAATTTTCCCAATAAAAGCCTACAATGTTTGATTTGGGGCACTCACCCACTTGAGGAAGCCCAATCATAGATTAATTAAGTCCAGTTTAGGCTATAAACGGATTTGAGGAATAAAAAAAGTTGCAAAAGTTTATCTTAGGGAAGGAATTAAAAGAAGCAGCAATACGTGAAAATAAATTGGGCGATATGAGGAGGACTTGGAAAAATTACTACTGTGGTATCCGTGCGATGCACGACCTAATTATAAGATAAGCATTTATAATTAGACAATTGAAAGCACGACTTAATTATAAGATAAGCATTTATAATTAGACGATTGAAACAACGTAAAAACAATGTAGTTGAATAAAACAAATATAACTTATATATTATTAAACAGAAAACAATGTACATCTTTGTAAACCGTATTTAAAATAGGTTTAAATAAATCAATTAAATTATTTAGTAATTATTTTAAAATTGTAAATTACTTAACTTAAGGAAAGAAAAAATTGTGTACATTTATGCAATCAATTTCAAATTTATTCTATAGGATTATACAACACCGAATTTTTTAGGATGTTCTAATCCGATTTCATTATTTCAAACTAATATCATCTAACTTCGTTTTATGATTAAAAAAATCGAACTAAAGAAAGTAATAGCCAAATGATATGTGATTTTTAAATTTTAATTATCAATTTGAAATTGTGCCTATTTCTATGCAATCTGATTTTTTTAATAAACATGATTTGTTGAAATTGGGTAAAGATACATGTTATAGTATTTCGCCTAATTTGAAATTCTCAATTTTATGGTATCCAATTTTTTTTAATAAAAAGTGAGAGAATTTTGACTTTTAAAAATTGTCATGCCGAATTTTACCTAAATTAACCCGATTTCTTTGCAATCCAATTTTTTTAGTAAACAATTGATCTGTTGCAATTACGAAAAGACGCGATAGTATTTTGCCTAATTCGAAATTCTCGATTTTATGGTAATCAGTTCTTTTTATTATTATTAAAAAATGTGAAAAAATAAATTACTTTTGCAAAATTGTATGTATCAGTAGAAATTTACCTAAATCAAATCTACAAAACCCATGAATTTATGGCACATATATAGCTGCTTAATTTTTTGGGAATAATTTAAAAAAGAATATTAAAAAACTGTCGAAAATAGAATGCAATAAATGATGGTTGACTTGTCTTGTTACTATTTTTAGTAAATAGGTTCTCTCTTTATAAACGTATAGATAGATGTTAAGCAGCCACCAAGGAAATAAAAGAGATCCGCGCAGCAACAGGAAAAGGGGAAAAAAGACGTTGTAAGCAGCCACGGACTGGGACCCCAATCTATTGCGGAAGGAGATTGCACCAGCATCCCAGGAAGATAATTGTATTATTCTATTTCTTTTATTATTTATTATGTTAGAATATTTTTTATTTCTAGTTTTGGGGATGTCGAACCCTGCGTACTTGACTATGTTGGATTAATTTCAGTGACTGATTAACTTGCTATTTTTATGGAACTGTTTGTGTTATTTTGTTTTTATATAAATTAATCACCTAGATAAGATTTTTTTTCATTCTAATGCTAGGATTAAACTTGTAGTCCGTCATTGTTGTTGAATTTAGTTTGTTAGTAGCAAATATTCTAGAAGGATCTTATCAACCTTCTTGTCTTCAAAGGTAACTGCCCTAGTATGACTGTCAAGCATACTTTGCCGACTGGCTTGACTTTATCTCCACTAAAATCGTAAAGGGTTGTATCGATCGAGTTCACTTTTTCCTTCAGACTCATTCACTCCAAATAATAGAGGAAAATAACGTCGAACGAGTTGTCCGTGTCTGCCATGACCCTTCGTATCACGTAACTCTCAGTTTCTACAGTTATGACCAAATCATGGTTGAGTGGGACCAAAACACCCGCAACATCTTCTAGCCCGAAGCTTAGGGTAGTTTCAGGCTGTTTTGGACTCCTGCAATCTCCTTCCAGCCGGTGTTGTGAATTTCCCGCTTTGGGGGATCTTCGAAAATGACTTGAACTTCTTTACCTTTTGACGCTTTTGTTGAAGCTGTTTTTTTCATGTTTTTTTTTTTCTTTTTTTCTTTTTTTTTTTTTTGAAATGTCTTCTGAATCTTGGAGTTGTGAGAATACCATTAGCCCTTTATAGTCGGTAAAAGACTAAATTTCCCACATACGACACCGCTTTTTTACGTTCTTTTGGGTCACGAACAATTTTTAAACACCTTACGCTTTTATTGATCTTCGTCTTTGAGTTCCGATGACCTGCAATACGTCGGGAGTGGGTCCCAGTAGAAAATTATCCGACGTTCAAGTCAGATCTTGCTCAACTGTATACGTAAGAGTATGTAAATAAAGGCATAGAATGTGATCATGGATGAAATGAACCTGTCACCCTTATATATGGAAAATACCTTGGAGCCGAAGAGAGTTCTTGTTGGGGTAAGAGATCCAACTAGATCTTACTTTCCTAACTTACCACATCTATATCTGGACAAGAGTCCTTGAGCAAGTGATTCTTTTCTTCTTTCAAGGATTCTTTCCCCCTTTAATTTTTTGGCCCATAGGTCCTTAGGTCGTGACACATACCTCCTGACTTGTTCGTTGTTGCCTTTCTGAGAACGTATAAGACCTCGTCTGAAGTTTAGCCCGACCTCATGTTTAAGTCTAACTTGACCTCAAATCACACGACCTCGATACCTTGAGGTTGTTACTTTGTCGGGCTCCTGGAGGTTGGCCTCTCTAAGTCTTGTCTTTTCTAGTAGCTCGGTACCTTAAAGCTCATATACAAGCTACTTAACCGAACATCTTACTTCTATATGTACGGGAGCTCTTCTAGCCCGATCTAACTAACAGCTCGGACTGATTTTTCGAGTTGTTTTTGAATGCTATATCATGTATTACTTAACAAATAAATGAAATCAGAATAACTATTTCAGGTCACGGGAAACGGATAATAAATAAATAAAAGAAAAAGGTCATTCAACTGGCGACCAAGGTCACATTGTGACCTTGGGTCGCAATCCGTTTCTTATTGGAAATGGAACATTTGTTCCATTTTTATTGGAAAAGCGTATTTTTTGTTTAAAAAAATACTAAAATTCATATATCCTTCATTCTCTACAATCTATACTTATATAAAGAGCCATCATATTTACTAAAATTAGTAGCAAAAAATAGGTCAGCATTTAATGCAACCTATAAATAGTAGTTTATTATTTTTCTTATTTTTTTTTTTTAAAAATCATACAATTTAATTTATAAATATGCTCAAATATGATCATACAATTTAATTTATAAAAATCATACAATTTAATTTTTTCTTTAAAAATACGCTTTAATATACACATATATATATATATTGTACTTTTGTAATAAATTTGAATAAAATGTGTTACTTAAATATCTAAACAATTTAGAAATTCAGATATTTAAATTATTTGATAAACAATTTATATATCTCTATTTTATTTAAATATATAATTTTATTTAAAATAATTTTAATATAGCCAAATTTATTTATAAAATCATATTGATCTTACCAGTTCAACCGACTGGTGTTGACGGATTTAATAGCAAATATTTTATTCAAGTGAACTAGACTGATTATCTATCGGTTCTCGGTCCATCCTCTCGGACTGTGTCCAACACGATTTAATTTAAAAACGATGGGTAAATTTTGATTAATTTATTTGTATATTTAATTTATAATATAATCGTAATATTGTTTTCCCGTGCATCGCACGGGCCACACACTAGTGAAAGACAACACTTGATGGGTTTTGGAACACAATTATATTTTAAAATAAGTTAAAATAAAATAAATATATAGGTTGAGTTGGGTCGGAGATAAATATAAAAAATGCTACAAGTACATAATAAATGTACATGGAAGTGTATATAACATTCACATGGAGTGTAGTTCATATGATTTTTTTTTTGGTCGGTCACACTCAATGTGAGTGTTGTGTACACTCTTGTGTACAATATTATGTACTTATAGCATTTCTCTAAAGATAAATTGGATTGTAATGTTGAGTTGTGTAGGTGGAAGAAAGAGAAATAATTAGCTTGGGTTGAGTTTGGTTGAGGATAAAAAGACTCTTAGGTTGAGTTGGGGATGAAGATAAGTTGAGTTGCAAGGTTGAGTACTGTAGGAGACCTGAGAGATAAATATTTTTTTTGTTATTAAGTTGAGTTGGATTGGATTGTGAATAACAGTAGTCTTACATATATATGTTTAAAAGTGCATTATTTGATCAAACTATAAGTATTAAAATTACCCAATTTATTTAATACTTGCTTGGATATAATTTTTTTTCAAAATTTTTCAATCATTTTTAACCAATTATTTTTTAACACAAACTTACCTGGTGTTGAGAATTTGGTTCCTTTGGTGGTGGTTGTGTGTTGGTGCGCCGGCTCCAGAGTTTGAGTGGGGGAGGTTGTGGCGTGGACCGACCTAGGTTGGTCTTTGCGGGTACTGGGGGAGGTTCCATTGGCCCGAGTCTTATTAGCCCATTAGAGGAGTTTCGAGTCCTGTTGTGCTGGGTCGTGGTTTGTGCAGTTTTTTCCAAGTACGTCGTGTTAGGTGCTGATCCGAGTCGTGGGTTGCTGGTGGCTTCTGTCAAGAGAGGAGGTCCTTTATTAGTGTTTTTTTTTTTTCGTTCGTGTCTTGTATGCAGGGTCGGCCCTGGCCCAGGGCGACCTAGGCAACAGCCCAGGGCCCAATTCAATCTAGGGCACCAGACCGACCCATATAATGTCCCTTTTATTTTCACTTTCATTTTATTTTTGACAAAGAAAGAAAGACAATTTTATGACCAGTCCAATTCAGTGAGGAGAACCCACATTTACTCACGCACACTACCCTATATTTCGAAGTCTCCCTCTCTTTTAATTATATGTTCCATATTATTATATTATTGTAACCTATTTACTTCTTTGATGTTTGAAAAAAAAAGTACCCTATTCATCTTATTTCCTTTTAAAACAAACTATTTATAGTATAATTTATTTTTAAAAAGTTATAGTATTATTTTTTGATAGCAATTTTAATCATTTAATAATTTAAATTTGCTTCACTAATTAAATTTTTTTCAATGAAGTTTAAAGTATGTCTAATGTATTTTTGAATATGTTTAGGGGTCATTTACTTTGTAGGATGGGATAATATAAGTTATCCAATTTAACTTTACATGTCAGCATTTAGTCCCTTGTTTACATTGTGGAATGGGATTTGCATAATTGAATCCCATATTTACTTCGATGGACTATTTGGCAGGTTACACAATCCAAAGACAAATTTGCCCTCATTTCTATTTATCAAAATCGATATCAAACTTTTCCATTCTTCAGAAGCTTTTTTCATCCTTCTCCATCTTATAATTAACAATGATCCAATCTCCTACACCACATATGGTCTCAATTTTAAGGAGGTGGTTCTTAGATCACTTGATCTCATCAACAATATCATCCAAATTAATCTTCAACACGACATTGTGAAGCTTGAAGTAAATTACTACTAACCTGGTATAAAAAAAATTAACAAGTGCAAAGAAAATATCATGAAGAAGAGATATTTGAACTGTAGCAGTGGGGTGAAAAATGATTGATAACAAAATCCTATTTGTTGTTTCTTATCAAGATATATATTTCTCATCAGTTCTTAAATAAATATATGACAGAATAACCTCACAAATATACAGAAAATGGAATCTTACAATCCGAGCTCGAGTCTAACAGAACTCGAGTCTTGACTAGTCGAGCTATAAAAAATTACATAAAAATCCTTGTTTGCGAGCCTTAACGAGCCGAACCAATCTCACAATACATCATGACCTAATACCTATAAAGAAATCCATTCATAATGCAGAAGGAAAAGTCAGAACACTTTAACAATATGAATTATGATCATGACACAATTGACTGGGAATCTTTCAAAGGGTTCAAATTGATAGCTCCAAGAATTCCACCCAAGCATTTTCAATAACAAAGATAAAAAGGTTTGACAGCAACTGAACTCATCTTAGAATTGCAACAAACAGATAACATAATGATCTTAAAACAAAGGCTTTTTTTCTATCTGTCAGAGCATAGATATGATCATCATATGATAAACTCAGCAGAACATCATATCCCAAAGACTCAATTTTTTCCCAAACAAACAATCTCAAAAGAACTAAAGGAACCACCACAAAGTCAAAGACCAATCACCCCAAAGAACAACAATATATAAGTAACATTCTCAGCAAATAATGCAACTCAAGAAAAGCAGCCCCAGAATCTGCACAAGTAACTTTAATTACTTATGAATCAATTTGGATCATCCATTAGTTACACGAGTAATTTTACAACATCTTTTCGAAACGATAACAATCGAAAAAGAATTTAACTGCCCCAACCCAACTCAAATCCCTTCAATGCAACAACCAAGAATCCTTAAACTGTTCAAAAGCACCATCCCTCAAATTATTCACCCTGATCAAACAAAAGTAGGTGCAGAAGCCCAAACCCATCCCTGCACACACCCTATTGGTCTTAAGCAAATAACAAGTTGGGCTACACTTAACCCCTTTACCTTGAATCACTATGCCCCAAACCCTACTCACGCCCTCCCCAAATTCTTGGCCCAGGGTTCATAAGACGAAGAACGGCCACGAATGGAAGGCGAAATCGAAATAAATTGAAATCAAAAATAAAAAAATGGCGAAATCGAACTCACCTTGTAGCCCTACGGAGACGAAGAAGACTCAAGAAAGATGGTTTGCCCGCACATAGAAGAAACTAGGGTTCATCGGGGAACATTGATTTTACTATGGCTTGCACTTGTAAAATTCAGCAAATTAAGGGGTATTTTGGGCATTTTATAGCGAAATCTGAGGGCAAAATAGGTATGATGGCCGTGGGATTATTATATCACAGGGGGGGCCAGGACGAAATTAATCGGCAAATGGCGGGTAAATTGCACCAAACCCCCCTGTAATATACTAAATCTGCGCGTTTTCCCCTCG